ATCAGCCATATTCTTCTGGTGAGATCGACCTTCGATTGAAAGATGAAAGTCTCACCAACAAAGTCATCTCAAGAGATTAATCGAATCCCGTTTACTCTTCGTATCTTCTTTCATTGTAAGACCTCAATTTCACATTCCGGTAGTGTTTTCAGGACTGCTAAGAATGTATCCCACACCGCGTACTAGACCATTGTTGTCATATATTCTTCCTGCATCAAGAAATATGCCTAGTCCATGGTTCGTTGCAGAAAGAACGCATTTCAACGATGGCAGAAGACGCGATACTGGATGCGTCCATCGAAGTGTATTTGGAAGCGTAAATAAATTTGGAAGATATGATGAAAAAAATTCTAATTTACGGCTCCGTCCAAACATCCCTTATGGTTCGGCGACGGAATTAAGAAATTCTGCGCTTAGCATCCAGATTTAGCAGTGCTCATTGGCAAGCTGCATGATGCTATCTACCTGTGATCGCGAAGGTGGTCTTTTCTGCGAAACCGTCGGGCGCATATATCACAAGCAAACGGTCTTTCGTCCGTGTGTGTTCGTTCATGGATCGTTCTGTTATAGGCCTTGGTGAATCCACGTCCACAATAGGTGCAAGCGTAGAGAAGTCGTTTCGCAGTGCCTCCACCGCTTGCACCACTAGTACCTCCGTTGCTGTTGATGCCTATCTTGTCCGACGCGGAGATCCGATGTCGTTCGCTATCAGCAGATGACCTAGCTGGAATCGCTGTAACTGTAGGCGTCAATAGAGTGTACTTAGCAGGTGTTCTTGGAGAGGATGACCTGTGCGGGTGGGAACAGCTCTGGGAGGAACCATTTGGATCTATACTCATGCCTGAGGATGTGCTTGCCCGACAAGTTGGTTCTTCTCCAGCTGACTCAACCATATCGAACGGAAAAAGGGCTGAGGCACCGATGGCTCCATGTGTAGGCGAGGAGATGGAAGCACTGGAATAAATAAATACGTAAATATACTTGATTGATACTAGACAGCCAATACGACTTCATTAAAAATGTCATTTATAAACATAAAATCTATTGATTTTAGGAAAAATATATAGTTATTTACGAAGAGAAACTGGGTTTCTATGAATCTAAGGAGATTAATCGAAACCCAATTTTTTTTCGTATCTACAATGTACGCACGGTTCGACTTCTTGTCATTTGTCTTCTCGCTACACTATAACCAAGAAAACTATATCCCCGCAAGCTAATAAAATTAGATTTTTAAAAATTTGTATTTCTCATAATGTTGTTGCTATGTGTTGTTTACTCGGTAGACGTTTTACTATACCGACATCCACAAATAGGGAACTTGATCAGGTATCGTGTGGTTTGGGTAAAACTAGGCTCAAGGAAAGCATTAACAAACTACATGAACTAATTAGAACCAAAATTGGGCTTGGGCAATCCATTTCTGAAATGTTGAAGGATGGGGATTTCATTAGGTTACAAGGCATGGCTGACGGGTTAGGAGAGGCGACTGACAGAACTACACGCCGGATACATGATAAGAAGCTCCGAAATTTGGGAATTAGAATTAGGTCGAGAAACTTTGCGCCTAAGAGAAGTCGTACTAACCATGGTTGTAGCAAACTGAGAAAGGATAAGGTAATCAATTTATCTAGTACAACTTTGGACGATAGTGTAGTACTTTTATTGGAAAGAGGACTGAATTCTGCTCTTCCAAATGAGGCAAACCATTCTCTTGAAATAGTTGTTGAATTAATTAGCTTATCTGATAGATTTCCGGAAGAGGTAAGGAATAATATTGAACTGGAGGTGATCCCTCATTTTGACCATATTCTACCGCCAAAGAAAGATTGCCATCCGAGTAGGGTTTCTAAGTATCTGTGTACTATAAATATAATCGAAATGAAATCAGACAATGGTGGAGCAGTGGTAGTCATGGCTAAGTCAAGATATGTAGAAAAAATGCTAGTTCATTTAAATGAAAATGACACACGTAGGCCTTTACTGATAGATCCAACAGAAAGACTTAAGGCTAGGCTAAAAATTGTCCTTAAGGTATGCGTAAGTAATGGTGAAATGGAGAGGTGGAAAGCCAAATCACTACTCCAGAGAGATGCAGGGCCCCAATCCTTACGGTCTCCCTAAGGTTCACAAGGAGTATGTCCCTCTAAGATAAATTGTAAATAATAAAGGAAATGTGATGCATAAAATATCACGCTTTTTATGCATACAACTAAGTAACTCTGCCAATTTTTGACTATATTCGGTTGAAAAATCGTATGACTTCGTGAAATTGCTGGATCAGCAGACACTTTCTGAAGAGGATTGGCTAGTAAGTTTAGATGTTGTGTCTATGTACACAAACATTTCTGTCTAAGGAGCTATCCAAGCTCTAATACAAACTCTAGAAGAGAATCCATAGATAACACAATGAATGAGTCTGAGTGTAGCTTCCATTATTAGACTTATTAACCTATCCATGAGTACCACATATTCTACTTTTGATGGTAAGTTAAACGAACAAACACAAGGACTAGCGATGGGACCTTGCCTGGCTCCCATCTTGGCGAACAATTATATGAGAAGACTGGAGGAACACTTCCTGAAAGAGGCAATACTAATCCAAACTTGTCGGTTAGATACATGGATGATTATTTTGTCATCTG